GGAAGGGAGGGAGGGTGGAAGAGACAGAGAGATAAGGAAGAAATATCGATGTGAGATCCACTGGTTGCCTCCTGCATGCACTGGGGGCAGAGAGCCCACAACCCAGGTATGTGACCTTGACGGAATTGAACCTGTGGCCTTTGGGTGTTGCTCTAACCACTGAACAACACTGGTCAGGGCTGAAATCTTTAATTTAAAAAATGTTTTATATATAAGTGTTACTGAACTCAAGGGGTTTGCTGCTGGGGTGCTCTATTCAAGAAGGTGAAGTGGTTGGAGCAAGGTAGCTTCATTTTCTTGCAGCAAGTGAAGGAGATGGGAATCATATTCAAAGGGAGGCTTAGCTATTGCTTATATACGCTGTTTGGTTAATTACATGTTGATTTCTCCTTAAGTATAAGTATAGGCAGTTGGCTATACTTATGAGGTTATCCTGTTTACAGCTGCAGCTGCAAAATTCTGAGCTGCATTTTAACATTTAGCAAGAAATAACATTTAGTGATAACATTTAGAACTGCCCAGACCTTGAGACCCTTGTCCTATTTAAACATAAGGGTCAGGACATTCTTATACTGCATTTTGATTTCTCTGGAGTTTCTGCTGCCTTTTTTCTTTCTTTTTTAAAAAAAATATATTTTTATTGATTTCAGGGAGGAAGGGAGAGGGAAAGAGAGACGGAAACATCAATGATGAGAGAGAATCACTGATCGGCTGTCTCCTGCACGCTCCCTTCTGTGGATGGAGCCTACAAGCCAGGCGTGTGCCCTTGACTGGAATTGAACCCGGGACCCTTCAGTCCTCAGGTCGACGCTCTACCCACTGAGCCAAGCCAGCTAGGGCTGCTGCCTTTTTTCTTATTGACAAGAGTGATGTGCTTTCATCACAACCTCAGATTTACCTAGTTCCCAGTCGTGCTGTCTGTTATGTGGGATTCCTCACTTTTCCTGGAGCCATCCAGCTGGTTGATGACCTAGGCTTCATTGTGAGACCTTTGCAATCCTGAGTTGGAGCCCCTTATTTCTTGTACCTTGTGCTTTCTAGGTCTTGGCTTTGTTTCTTCTTTTGTAACTGTCTCAGGAAGTGTGTGGGAGGTAACCCTCCTGAGTTGTTCTATGAGAAAAAAGTTCTCTCATTTCCTGAATTATCTGTTTCCCCTCAGTTCAGTAGGTCCTAGGATTTTCTTATTCATGCTACTTACTGAGTTTTCTCATTTGTGTGGGTGGTTCTTGGTTGCCCATTCATATTTAAGATGGAGGGGCTGACGATGATTATTTTAGGTAGCAAGGCTCTCCCCAACAGGTCCCATCAGCTCCCTACTCTTTGATGTGGAGCCTATACTGAACTTTAAAAGTGCCTGTGAATGTGGCTTGGCATGCATCAGACTGATAATTTTGTCTAGCTGAGAATAATAGATTTATAACCTTTGTTTAATATATGGTGGTACATTGTGAGGTAGAAATAAACTACCCACAAATCATTTTGCTTACTTAATCCTGAAATAGGAATTTAGATATTAATAAAGTGTTACCTTGAAAGTAAAGAGGGAATAATGACAGGTTATAAGTCAATTCAAATATTTGTTGGATTTTTGGTGTGTTTCATGTTTCTGGTGATGCAGAAAGTATCCTATATAATAAAAGCCTAATATGCTAAGTGCCCGGTTGTCTGGTCATCTGTTCAACTAATCAAAGTGTAATATGCTAATTATATGCTAAGGCTGCTCAACTGCTTGCTATGATGTGCACTGACCACCAGGGGGCAGAAGGTCCGACCAGTAGGTTAGCTTGCTGATGGGGTCTGGCCGATCAGGACTGAGCAAGATGGGCTGGACATGCCCTGGAGCCCTCCTCGGCTGGCCAACCTCTTGTGTCCCTCTCTGGCCCGATAGTGCACTGGTGGGGTCCCTCGGCCTGGCCTGCTCCCTCTCACAATCCGGGACCCCTTGGGGGATGTCAGAGAGCTGGTTTTGGCCTGATCCTGCAGGCCAGGCTGTGAGACCCCACTGGTGCACGAATTCGTGCACTGGGCCTCTAGTTTATAAATAAGACAGAGGTCCTGCCTTCAAGGAGCTAGCTGGAGAGACTTAATCTTTCACTTTTCTTTATGTCCTTTTTGTTTTAAGTTAAACTTTACTTGTGTTATTCTGATCTTCATTATATTTTGCAAAAACATAATTTTTTGGATTGTGTACTAGAAACTGAATATTTGAGCTGCACATTGATACATGGTTGGCAGTGTTCAAATGGCAAGTGCATTTATCCAAATTTGAATCAGTGCCAATAGTTTATTTAGGACTGGCTTCATAGATTAAAAAAAAATTTCTTTTTTATTTTTTAGAGAGAGGAAGGGAGAGGGATAGAGAGTTAGAAACATCGATCAGAGAGAAACATCGCTCAGCTGCCTCCTGCACACTCCCTACTGGGGATGTGCCTGCAACCAAGGTACATGCTCTTGACTGGAATCGAACCTAGGGCCCTTCAGTCCGTGGGCCGACGCTCTGTCCACTGAGCCAAACTGGTTAGGGCTGTAGATTTTAATTGTAATCAATATTTTTTTTTGGCACTTTGGGGAAAGATCTTGTCTAGAGCATTCAGGGGACATAGTGATTATTGCCTCACCCTTAGATGCTTCTCATAACATGTAATTATATCTTCATCTGGCTTGTTAATATGTCCCTTTCCTCAAGGATACTTAGGCAGTAACTCTCAGAAGTTATTGATACTATAAGGTGATGCCTTTAAGTGCTTTGGATTTTCTTTTGAAATACAAATACCTCTTTCTGCCGGATTAGCCTCACCCTCATTCTTACCTTACTACAAATTAAATTACAGTTACAAATAAGATTATTCCTACACTTGGGAAAATAGAGTGGGAATTGGGAGCCTTGATGAAGGAATAGGATTATAAAATTAATCAGTATTATTTCCTAATCAGAAACATACTTGAAAAAAACATAGCCTAGTCCAAACTCTCATTAGATGAAAAAAACTCTGACTTAAAAGACGTTTAGCAGGTTGTTTGAGATTTTAATGGTGGAATTGGAACCCTAGACTCCAGTCTCAACAGCACTCCCAAGTCTGGGGGGGGGGGGAGATTTACATTTTAATGTGTTATCATATTTTAAGTTATCTCCGAGAGTAGAATAATACAAACAAAAATGTGCCAGTGTAAGGGTAATCAGATTAGAGGAGGGGTGCATGTGGTGCACTAAATATTTGTCCAGTACTTAATGTTTGATACATAGTAGGTGCTTAGTAAACATTTGCAAGCATTCTGTACTTTCATGTTATGCTTGATGCCATGAAGGGATGCAAAATACGGAAAGGATCCATCTCTTTTCAAAGAACTCTTAGGCTGATTGGTAATTTAAAATAATTGGAAGATTGACTAACAGATGTCAAAAGTAATAGATGGTGTAGTCAGGAGAGACTTGACTAAAACAGAAAAAATTGCAGTAGGCTACAAAGGAATGAAAGTAAGTGCATATAACTACATGCTAATTTTACTCACTGGAAACCATTTTGAAATTGAAGTTCTGTATTTGTTCTTGTTGGTGACTTTTTGCTAAACCTTCATGAATAACATTCTACAACTCTTAAGTTTTTATTAATTTGCTTTTAAAGCGGGTCTTGAATTCTTGCTGCCTGGCATGGATTAGGTTGAATCAATTTTGGTTTAATTTAGTAAGTACAGTATTAGAGTATCTGCTAATGTGTAAGCAGTGTGCCCGGTAGAAAAAAGTCAGAATAATGCATAGCCTAATAAGGGGACATGGAAGTGTAAGCTGTATGGTAAATATATTCATGAAAGCATGTGAGGGTATAGAGGTAGCCAAGAGTGTGGGAGATGTTAGTGTGATCTGGGTGAGGGTGAGAAAGGCTTTCTGGGAAAGATGACAGCTAGGTTTTTAAATTTTTTTTATTTCAGAGAGGAAAGGAGAGGGGAGAGAGAAACATCAATGATGAGAGAGAATCATTGATTTTCTGCCTCCTGCACGCACCTTACTGGGATCAAACCCACAATCCAGGCATGTGCCCTTGACTGGAATTGAACCTGGGACCCTTTAGTCCACAGGCTGACACTCTATCCACTGAGCCAAACCAGCTAGGGCTGACAGTTAGGTTTTAAAGTATAAATAGAAGCTCTCCAAATATACAAAGAAGGGAGAGCCATTTCAGGTAGAGAACACATCCCAAACTGAAACAGAATGGTGTGTTAAGACAACTTTGAACAGTATTGCTGGATATAAAGTGGGATGCTTGGGGAGGGGATTACAGGAGGTAAGACTCTTACAGAACTTTGCTTCTTAAAGTTAGGCATGTATGGAGCTCACTGTCTTTGGTATTCCATTTGCCCTTGACAATCAATTGGGAGTTTTAGGTAGTCAGTCCAAATGCAAGGTTAATTAAATAGGCATTTTTTTCCTACCTGCTCTGAACGCCTTGGGAGAAGAACCAAATGAAAGAACATTAAAGTTGGAGGATTAGTGGATTTAATGGAAGAAGCTTTGTATTTAAAAGAGAATTAACAGGAAGGTTTTACAAATGCAATAAAAGTAACTTATTGAAAACGTGGTATATGATCTCCTAGTACGATGACCTGGCTTAAGTGTCTCCAGCAGGTGTTTTGAAGCAGTTATACAAAAGAGAAAGTCATGCAGTAGAATTAGTTCGGTCAGTAAGCTTGTTACTGTCACCTGATTTCCAGAAGATCAGTTGGCTTTAAGCCAACTGCTGGAGCCCTGCGTACAGGATGATTCTGTTGGGCCAATTCACCAGAACCTTGGGCTGCTGTGACCGGAAGTGCTTTATACCTAAGAACTTCATTGATCTTCTGTCCTATCGGGACCTCACCCACAATATTGGTGGTCCCCAATAGTGGGTAGTGAAGTGATTTATATGCCTGAGTTACAATAAAGAGTTAACCACTCTTAGAATCTTCCATGTTTAACTTCCTCCAAAATGCTGCAGGTTTATAAGTGTGTTTTTAATATTTCACAGGCTTTCTTGATCATGGATGGTGAAGATATACCAGATTTTTCAAGTTTAAAGGAGGAAATTGCTTATTGGAAGGAACTGTCCTTAAAGTATAAACAAAGGTAATGTTGAAAAACATCCTAAAAATAGGGGAGGGCATTTGGAATGCACCATCTCTAGCATGTGCATTTTTTTAAAACATAAAGCTAAAATTAAGAGTTTCAGATTTCGGATTGGAATTCTAGAACTAGTCATAACATTGCTTGTATTTAAATAGTACAAAAATGCCATAAATCCTTATTATATTACTCAAGTTATTAAAATAGTAAGAAAACTTAGTGTCACTGTTTTTTTTTTCTGGTAGCTTACATCCTTTTATGCATATTGTTCTAATTGGCCATGTTTGGCCTGCTGCAGGTGCACTGCTGCCTCATCATTTCTGTCTTTTGGAGATTCTGATAGGCTGTCTGAGACTTCAGACAGCAGACCTGAATTCTCCTCAGGCAAACACTATCAGTGTCTGCAGCCAGAAAAGCTTTGAGGGAAGGGAGAAGAGCTTCAGGTGTATGGAGCATTTTATAAAATCTCAATTATTTTAATTAGTTGGGAGAATTTTTACATGATCTTGTGAGCGCCAAGACTTGGCTTAAATTTCTTTTTAAAATGGAATTTTTCTAAAATAAATATACATTTTCATACTTTGATTAACAGAGTTTTCTAAGTCTTATTAAACCTTTTATTGCTATTTCATTGCTATTGCTGAAGCTAGTTATATTGTGCCAGTGGATATAAAAGGTGGGTGTCTATGGCAGGGGTTCTTTTTTTTCTTCTTTTTTAAAATGTATTTTTTATTGATTTCAGAGAGGAAGGGAGAGGGAGAGAGATAAAAACATCACTGATGAGAGGGAATCATTGGCTGCCTCTTGCATGCCCACAACTAGGGCATGTGCCCTGACCAGAAATCAAACTGTGACCTCCTGGTTCATAGATTGACGCTCAACCCCTGAGGCACATTAGCCAGGCTATGGCAGAGGTTCTTGTTTTTTGTGTGCCATAGATTCCTTAATAGGCTGGGGAAACCTGCAGACCCCTTCTCAAATAATGTTTTTAAATGCATAAAATTAAATAATAGAATTACAAAGGAAACCAATTATATTGAAAAACTTATCTAATAATAAACTGATTTGCAATATAGTAATATGTGCTTCTTTATTAATACACTAGAGGCCTGGTGCACGAAAATTCATGCACTCGGGGGGAGAGGGTGTCCCTCAGCCCAGTCTGGGAGCCCTTGGGAGATGTCCAACTGATGGCGGGGAGCGGGCCTAAGTCATAGTCGGACATCCTTAGCGCTGCCATGGAGGCAGGAGAGGCTCCCGCCACTGCTGCTGCACTCGCCAGCCATCAGCCCGGCTTGTGGCTGAGCAGCGCTCCCCCTGTGGGAGCACACTGACCCCCAGGGGGCAGCTACGGCCCTGCCCGCCACCGCTGGTCACCACCGCCCCCCCAATCGCCGTCCCCTCCCTCTGTCCACTGGCACCTGCTTTGGCTGGCCTGGCACCGTCCACTCGCCAGCCCCACCCCCTGCCGACCTGTCGTTCCACCGTTTGGTCGATTTGCATATTAGGTTTTTATTATATAGGATTAAGTAAGGAAGAGCTAGCAGTGAGTGTATAAAATGTGAGTCCTTTTAGGGCCTGTAACTCATTTTCATTGAGCCTTGAATATAGAGTAAGAGATGTGTAAAATACTGTCTTTATTATTTAGTATATTTTATTATAGCATGGCATTCAGGCATAAATTCTTGAATTGGTATGTAATCGTCTTTAAGATGATCCTTATGGTTCCTACTAACTACGACTTATCTTTCCCACTTTGTTTTTTATTAGCTTCCAGGAAGCTCGGGATGAGCTAGTTGAATTTCAGGAAGGAAGCAGAGAATTAGAAGCAGAGTTGGAGGCACAATTAGTACAGGCTGAACAAAGAAATAGAGACTTGCAAGCTGATAACCAAAGACTGAAATATGAAGTGGAAGCATTAAAGGTAATTGTGGCAGTAGGAGCCTGGTGTCTAATGTATTGGGCTTTATTAAAATGAAAAATGTACTTTTTTAAGAGGAGTTTAAGAGCAGCTGGCAACAAAAAATATAAAAGGAGGCTTAAAGTGAATTTTTGTCAAACTGTTTTCTTTCATGGAACTAAGAGGAGATTTAGAGTTACAGGGGTGGGCAAACAATGGGTTCTTAAACTGGACTGGAAGGCCGGAACCAAAGCATGGATGGAGTGTTTGTGTGAACTAATATAAATTCAAAGTAAACATCATTACATAAAAGGGTAAGGTCTTTTTTTTTTTTTTTAGTTTTATTCATTTCAAATCAGCCCGCGGGCTGTAGTTTGCCCACGGCTGGTTTAGGAGCTCACTTAGAAAGTCTGTAGCCATCAGTGTTTTAGTGATCATGTTCCTAGATACACTTTTATAGTCCCTATAATTTTCAGAAGCTGCCTGATTGTTTTGATAAGGCACCTCATTTTGTGGCACTTAAAAATTATATTTGTATGAAATATACACATTTATTTCATTGTTATTCATAGTCCCTTCAGTTTTAGAGTTTAGTTTGGATTTAAAAATTGCCTTCTAAAAAGGAATTTTCAGGAGTAAAAGGTTTAGCCGCTTTTGTTGCTCTTTAACCACCTGCCTTAGCCAGATGCTTAGAGACTTTCCGTGTCTGGGGAGTAGGTGGGTTTGGGAAGGTGGGGGTGGGCAGGTAAGGGGTAGGGAATTTGAACTCTGTCAGTCTACTTCTTTGTGCTCACCCTGAACTGCATGTAGCCTGAGAACTCAGAAGTTCCCCCACCAAGTTTAGGGTTTTCATTATTTTACTATTTTCAGAGAGACCATTATTAGATTTCTGAGAGGACAATGGGTGACTATTTAAACCTTATATGAGTGAGTTAAGTCACTTGGAATGAATGTGTGATTGTTTTTAAATATTGTAAAAAGGAGAAGGGGTGCCATCAACTTGGATTGTGGGTGAATTCTTTGGATTTTCCCTCCTCTTTAACTTGGGTTGCATCCTTCATTAAAGAAAACTTCATATTAATGACACATACTTTTTTCCTATATCCATGTCTTTAGGAGAAACTAGAACATCAATATGCACAGAGCTACAAGCAGGTCTCAGTATTAGAAGATGATTTAAGTCAGACTCGAGCCATTAAGGAGCAGTTGCATAAGTATGTGAGAGAGCTGGAGCAGGCCAATGACGACCTAGAGCGAGCAAAAAGGTGAATGATGTGCATTTTGTTAGAATAACCAAAGTTGGCAATCAGTGATTAAAATGTATGTCTTTAGGTTCAATCTATCACCTAGATCTTAGTCCCAGAACACTTCCTTTTGGTACTCATCACATTGAAACTAACCAGAAATTCTTATCTTCCCAGATAATTCCCTTCTAAGCTTTTCTTTTTCCCTTCTTTCATGTGCTGCTCTTCCTGTGGCTTTTCATTAAAATATGTATCATTCATTCCTCTCTCTTTCCCTCTCTTTCTCAATACCACCACACTTTTTGTAGGTCCTCACACCTTTTTTTTTTTTTTTTTTTAAATCAGTTGTGTTTCTTTTTAAAAAATAACTCAGATGTATTTCTTTCTTTTTTTTTTTTTTTTAATTGATTTTAGAGAGGAAGGGAGAGGGAGAGAGATATAGAAACATCAACGATGAGAGAGAATCATTGATTGGCTGCCTCCTGAACACCCCCTACTGGGGATCGAGCCCATAACCCGGGCATCTGCCCTTGGCCAAAATTGAATCCGGGACCCTTCAGTCCGCAGGCCGATACACTATCCACTGAGCCAAACCAGCTAGGGTGGTCCTCACATCTTAAACCTGAATTCTGCAGTTATTTTCTAGCTAATCTATCTTTAAATTTTTACTCCTTTTTATTCTCTTCTGTTTTAATACCAACAGATGAGTTTTCTCAAAATATTGCTTTAATTATGATTTTGCTGAATAACCTATAGTGGCTTGCTATTACTATTGCCAGCTTTCATGTATCTGTAAATTAGTTGTTTCTTAACCATTCAAAATTTAATTCCTCTTATTTTATTCCTATTACTTTATTATCTGGTATTTCTTTCCTTAATAGTTGAGTGACTTAATTTCTTTCCTTAAATAGTTGAGTGCCTGATATGATGCTAGAGTTGAGGATACAAAGATAAACTAGCTACTGCCCTTGGGTATAACAGGTGTGGAGGTTTGATATGATAAATTCTCTAGTAGAAAGAGTGTACAAGTCGTTCCAGGGCATAGAGCAGGGAGCAGCTGAAGTTACCCTGGGGGAGTTGGGGAAGCAGAACGTACAAGGAGAAATAGAAGTTAACCAGGTGAAGAGAGAGATGCAGAGTCAGAGAGGCAGGAAAGTGTGTGAGGTATTAATATTTCACTTTGAAATATATAGAGACATGGCTGAACAACATGAGGCTGGAAGGTGGTTGAGGCCAGGTTGTGAAGAACCTTGTGTGCAATGTTTGATGTCATTCTGTAGGCAGTGGGGGCCTCTTTAATAATTTTTTAAACAAAGGAGTACTATTTTAGACCATGATTTCAGCAGATAGTACTGAGGAATTGGAATAGAGAGGAGGAGATGTAAAGACCTCTCATCACTACCGTTTAGGAGTAATCCAGGTATTGGATGGAGTATTGAACGGGGGCAGAAGATTGAAGGAGAGCAAATGGAACTGAGAGATATTTGGACAGTTGACAGGATATGATAAAATTGTACATTGCATTATGAGTTCTGATGAGGGTAGGGAATTCTATATCTAGCAGGTAAGCACATAGCAGGTAGTGGACACATAGTAGATACATGTTAATGTTTGTTGAATAAAGGAGTAAGATGAGAAATGCAGGAAGAAGAAAAGGATTGGTAGGAAGAATGTAAATGGAGTGGGACCTGGGACTTTGTGTTTTAAACAAACTTTTAGTTAATTCTTACGTATTCTAAAACTACTGCAAAGTTTTCCTGA